GTGTGTGTGTGTGTGTGTGTGTGTGTGTGTGTGTGTGTGTGTGTGTGTGTGTGTGTGTGTGTGTGTGTGTGTGTGTGTGTGTGTGTGTGTGTGTGTGTGTGTGTGTGTGTGTGTGAATTCCTTCAAGGCATTTCATGTGGCAATGTTTTCCCCTCCCCAGAGACATCAGGGATCTTCTGATATCACCTGGATTAAATCTCCTTGGAGCAGGAAATGTATCAGCAAAAAAAAAAAAAAAAAAAAAAAAAAACAAAAAAAAAAAAGCCAACAAGAGCAAAAGTATTGTGTGAACACAAAGTCCCTAAGACACCCACAGAGCTCTCTGTGATTCTCAAGTTCCCCAGGATCCTTCCAGAAATTACCCACAAAGCCTAAGAGACCACTTACCGCCCATGCAGAAACAAAAGTGAATATTAAGTTCTCACAGGAAATTCACATATCAACATGGGTTAGCTATGACTCCATCTGAAATAAAACACTCTATAAAACCACATGCGCACAGACACACAACGCAAATTATCATGAAGGGTAAAATGCAGCGAACTGGATAAAGCAACCCTTAAACCCTGCACTAAGAACAGAAGATGTCAAAACTCTGACATATAGGAAATAAAAATAAGATGTCTGAGATCATCCAGTACATCCTCCATCTGGAAAGGGAAATGAGTCTCTGAAGCCAGCATCCTCATGCTCTCCTCCTCTGACGAACGGACATTGTACACCAAAGTTATCTCAATTTATCCCTTAAGGGCCTCCTCCTCTTCCTACAGTCAGGATCCACATGATTCTTTCCCCTAAACAAAAGTAAATTTCAGGAATAAAAGCTCAGTTTACTTTAAGATCCACACGGACAGTGTTGCCTCACCTACTTTGCTGTCCCTACATTTGCTGATTGAAAACAGTAGCTGTATTTGTGATTTTTTGTCATTTCAAAAGGGAATCCCATGGTGGATTTGACATGGCTTTGGCTCTCAAGGTACCAATGAGCAGTAGGAGAGATGAGGCACATTTCAAAGTATTGGCAACTGTAGACAGATACAGGCAGATCATTCAGAAGGTAGCATCTTTTCTCTTAAGTATAGATGGGGAATGACTCAAAGGCATTTCGGAGACTGAGGAAGAGTACTGGGAAAGGCAGGATGCTCCAGGCTAGGGACTCTAGAAGCAGAAGCAAAGCATCAGGCAGCATTGAATATGTGAAGAGAAAACACAGTGGTTCCATATTGCTAAAGAAAGACAAATCAGAGTATGGGCACAATATGCAGCTATGAAGGGCATAGTCCAAATGTGCAGATTCTCTGAAGCTAAGATAACATGATTCTTCTTTTCATAGTCCATATGTACTCATTCAATTACCTAGTATGAAAAACTTAAAACACCTGCCATAGTCATGGCCATGACACTGGGGACAGAATTTTACAGACATGTGCTCGGTTTACATTCTACCAGGAAGGAGAGATAAGAAGCCAGTGATCACTGCAGCGGTGTGAGAACAGCCTTGACACTTTGCATAGGGCTACTTGTGAGCAACAACAGATGTCATGTACTCTGAAGGTCTGTGGTGGTGAAATAGAAAGGGGATGTATGTTATACAGATGATAATGATTATAATAAAAGCACTTAAGGGTGTGAGAAGTGGAATACGTTCAGAATGAACAGGAAGGGGTAATCAGCATGGTGGCAATAAATCTCAAGAAAAGCCCAGGCTAAGAAAAGAGTTCACCGCAGCAAGGGACCCTAACTACATTTTATCCCAAGGCCACGGGAAGCGATGAAATTATGGTGACACTCAAACTGCACTTCAAGAAAATAAATTCTGTAGCCTGAAGAAAAGACTGGGAGGCAGAAAGACAGAAAGGAAATAACTGTACAAAGCTTTACCTAAGGATGTAGATGACATAGTATAGTGGGGTGAGCCATTACACTATGGTAAAGCATGAGTTTCATGAAGATAGAACTCATTTAACTAGTGGTGTCACAATGAACTAAGGCTTCTGGTGCACACAGAGATGGTTTCACAAGAGAGCAGGCAGAAGACTGTTACCCCTGGAACTTCTCTGAAGAAATTTAACTAGGAGAGGAGTAGAGTCTGGTAACTAGAGGCACAACAGATGAATTACTTATTACATATGTCTGTTTAGTTGTTATAGAGTAGACATGAAAAGGGTTGCCTTTCACAAAAAGTTAAGTTCTGAAGAGAAACTGTATTTAATACTTTAAATTACTAAATAGTGTAAGATGCATGTCTCAAACTCAAATTTAAAGCACAATTCACTAAAGAAAGTGAACAAAGAAGTTTAACAAAGAACAAAGAAGTTTAACTTTTTGTTTGTCATCTCTAAATGCTGAAGCCCTCCACTTGTCTGAGCTCATTATTAAATCACATATCAGATTTTACATTCAGGAGAAAATGGAAGCTCATCAGTCCTTTCTTGTAACCATCTCCCCACCTCTTCCCTTTGTCCTTCTCTACATGCTGTAGAATCTTCCTTGGAAAATACTGACAAGTAGGGCCAGAGATGTACGCATTAAAGGGTCAGGTTGGATGAGTACTCTAGGAGTGGTAAAGCAGAAGTTTCTTTGCCACCACCTCCCAAATGAACCCTCCTTTCTTTTCATAGTACAGGAGGAGACATATCCATTATCATTTCCACCTGTTTTGCCCAACCTTTTCCCATCGCAACAGGATGCTGCAATCTACAAAGTTCAGACTAGAGAATCAGGCAACTGAATTACAAAAACAAAATTGCAATAACATCAACAATAATGTTTTAAGCTTGTGATTTCTGTATTGGCTTACATTGCTGGACACATGTCCTAGATTAAAAGGGGCTACCCTGATTAAAGAGAAAGAGATAGGAACATAGCACCTGGACACACATACTTGGACTTGCTGGTGGTAGTGTGCAGACCTTGCAGGCTTCTTGGTATATTGGTAGCCCTTATATAGTAAGGAGGGTTTCACACTCAGGAGCTGGGACACTCTATCTCTTTCTCTTTAATCAGGGTAGCCCCTTTTAACCAAAAAGCATCTTGGAGAAGAAAAGGTTTGTTTCACCTTACAGCTTATAAGTACATTCAGAAAAGTCAGGGCAGAAAGTCAAAGTTGAAATCTGGAGGCAGTAAATTGAAGCAGAAACCATGGAGGAGTGCTGCTTACTGGTTTGCTCCCCATGGCTTTCTCAGCCTGCCTTCTTGGAGTACCTAGGACTGACCCAAACACACAAATAAAATGGCGACATTTTTTTATCTCTAGAAGAGTTGAAGTCTATGATAGCACTCAACCACTGAATTACCTTAGGACAAAGGTGGAGGAAGAGAGCATGAATACCTGTACCGCTGGCCATGCCCAAACAGGTATGTAGAGGGGTAGGATAAAGAGTGAGGAAGAGAGGGCTCGATCTCGCTCAGGGTTCAGGCCAGATCTTGGAGGTATCTGGGACTGAGCTTCTCGGAGTGCCAATCTGGTTATCAGCTCCTCATGTGAGTATTCCTTCTTGATAAATATACCACATTTAATAACCTATCCTGTGTTTGATTTTGTTCCTTTTCACAGAGGTATGGAAAATAACTAGAACACTCAACAAGAACCTTACAGCATGTGTCTGTTGACTTGGATACTAACCTGATAAACTTGACAGCCAAGCCGAGGTCAGCTATGCAGCAAGTTCCGTTCTTCTTCACCAAGATGTTCTTGCTTTTCAAGTCTCGGTGGGCGATTGCTGGTTTGCCTTGAGTGCTGAAGATTTCCGTGTGTAAGTGGCATAGGCCACTAACGGAAGAGTAGGCTAACTTCAGCATGGACTTTGCGTCTAGGGTAGTAGATTTCAGATAGTCATAAAGAGATCCATTTTCATGATAATCTGTGATGAGGTACAACTGAGTCCAGGACCCAGTCCCTTTAATATCTGCAGCAATGAACCCTAAAATGCAAAAGAATTAAAAGGATTAGTTGTGCTTCCTGGACAGAATGAGGAATAACTCATGTGCTCAAATAGTCTTTCTCTCCTGATGTCTGGTTTAGCATCTCCCTCAGTTTTCTGACTATGCCTGTGATGGTGCTAAACTACTAATATCAAGCTGAGGTGACCAATATTGGAGGGATAAAGGAATACAAGAGTTTAGATCTGAAGCCACTCTCTGATCAGTGGTATTGAAATTCCTTTATGGTATCATAGTTACAAGCAAGGCATTGCTGTATGAAAGGCTTGAGTCAGGCCTTCTACTTCACTAACTGTGTCCCTCTCCTACTCAAATGATCCAGACAGATCATGTCAAGCCTGAGGAAAGGAAAAGAAAATCAATTCTGAACATAAGCTCTTGCTACAAATAATCTCTGCAAATAAAAATGCCTATAACTTTCCACATCATTTAAAACTAAATATGGTCCTTCAAATCCCTACAAACCCTTAAGAATTCTAGTATTTCATTTCCACTTCCTGTTTCTGCAGAAAAAAATATCATTGGTGAGTATTGCATTTCCAGGCTACCACCCACCCACAGAAGCACCATAGTCATTCCTCCCGTGGCATCTTCTGTCAGAAGTGTATGGGCTCTGGGCGCACGCCCAAAAGAAAGAGCCTGTAAGTTTCATAACAGGTCTAGACAGATGAGTTCACATGCAGATGTGGAGACACAGACAGAAGAATGTGACGAAACCCCAACTATCACTGTGTAGACTGTGACTCACCCAGAATGTTTTCATGCCTCATCAGGACTGTCTGGTATATCTCTGTCTCTCGGAACCAGCTGGCTTCCTCAGTGGTGAAGAACACTTTCACAGCTACCTTTTCTCCACGCCACTTGCCCATCCACACTTCCCCATAGCGACCTTTTCCAATTTGCTTCACCATCTGAATTTGCTTAGCTATTGTCCTTTGGACCTGGCAAAACCCAAAACACATCATTAGTAAATTACAGCACTACAGATCTATCTTGGGGTTGGGGGTGGTGCACAACATAATGACTTGGGGCAAAAACATGTAGTTATATTATTCTATATACACATGAGATGTACTAATTCATCCTCTTTTTTAAGTGTATTTCAGATGGAAGATCGCCAATTTTAAATAATCAAATACTGCTTCCAAATCATTAGATGTTCCATTCTACCAATTGCTATTTTCATAGAGAAAAAAGATGACAAATGGTTTCACAGTAACTCATACTTGACAGAACAAAGTAGTTTACTGTTATATTGATTTATTTAATACTCTGAAGGAATTTTTGCCACTACATAACAAACCATGGACTCGTTAAATAAGGCAAAAAAATATATTGGATGCACAAGGAAATTTATCAAAATTCCTAAAGTGGAGAAGAACAGAGGAAAACAAACAACAAAACAAAAAATAAAGTGAGTGTATGACAGGGCAAAAGAGAGCGCATAAGAAACAAAACTGAAAGAGAATGCCCACTGTAAAGGAAACTGAGTGCTCCCCAGCCTGGCCACCTTGAACCCCTCTGATTATATAGTGGCATTTTGAGTCACAGAATGCCAAACTGCAGCAGGAAATTTTAAGAAAATAAATGAAGACGAGGCAAGGAAGGTGAGATCGTAGAAAAAATGCACATTTGAATTGAAAGAGATACTTGTCATGGTAAAAACTACAGAATGGAGACACAAAACAGTAGTCCAAAACAGAAGAACTGGTAAAGGAAAGCTAGCAAGCTGGAGAGAAAGTTCATTTAATAATGCATAAAATACAGCTGGAGAATTACAAAGAGTTCATAAAAGCAAAGCAGAAACACTGAGTTAAGTGGCATGGAAATTAAATGACTCTGTCTTCGTGGCAGTTTTACTATCTGTACTTTGTCAGTGGTTCCCTAGCTGAAAGGGAAAGTAGACAGAAAGAACAGCCAGGTCTGGGAATACACACCCATAATCACAGGACTCAGGAGGCCAAGTAGGTACACTGTGAGTTGAAGAACAGCCCGATCTACATAGGATAATCTGTCTCAAATAAATAAGGAAGGAAACTAGCATATGATACTAGCAAAACCTTACCATAAAAATCACAAAGTCCTCTTGGTAGTGACACATCAGGTAAAAGCTTTTCTTTCTGCTTGTATAAGTTTAGGATCACTCAATTGTGATAACCAATCCACATATTCTAGAACTCTCTCACTGGCTAGTCAAAAAGGAACAGGTTCTAAGCATTGGGAACTGGACATTAGCCTGCAGGTTCTTTAATTAGCATTCTTTTGTGTTTCCATGATGGGTGATAATATCAACTCAAGAGCTCCTGAGTTCCTTCTTAAAACTGTTAATGGCACTGATAACAGAATGAAATCCTGTTGCCAAAGAGTATTTTTTTCTAAAATTAAGATTTAATATAAATAAATAAATAAATAATAAACTACTAATGGTCTAGGAAGCATAAAGTGAGGTGGAAATGAGCAAACAAGTAGATGCATACAGTAGCCCTCCTCTCACAGTTAGGCACTTGGATGAGGCAGCCTTTGGTATACTATATGTCCACTGTCCCCACAAGAAGACAGAAGCATCAAGGGCAACAGAGAAGATGCAGTTAGATATCCACTCGGAAAGAAACTTACTGAAGAACTAGCATATTTACTTTCCATTTGTACAAGCACTGCTGGGTGAATCTATGGCATCCTGCTTCTCAAACAGCTCTGATTCTTTTCTATCAACGAGACGTCTTCTCTAGTGAACGTACTGACAGCAGTAGCAACGTTAATGGGAGAGAAACTATAGACCTCCACGATGCTCTGCCATTAAGTTAGAGCTAGAAAAGAAATTTTACTCTCCTTTTAAGATTATATTGTCAAAGAACCTGAACATACACTTGAAATTTAAAAAACTGATTTCAGTTTTCTTATTTCACCAGTGCTACTTCTCTTTCTGCATATACATTTCAATCTAAATCACATTCACAGTTTTGTTTTAAAAAAGTTGAGTGTGCAAATAAAATTTACAATAATTTGCTATAAATTCTATGTGTGTTCAAAGTTTGATCTCCAGTTTGGCTCAAGTATGAGTAAGTGGGAACTTCAAGGCATGGGGCCTACTAGAAGCTCTGCAGGTCATGGGGAATGTGCTCACAACGGGAGTCACAGGACTCTCAGTTTCTGGGTTCCATCCTTGCCATGAGATGAGTAGTTATGCTCTGCCATGCCCTGTCACCTCAGTGTGCAACCACAAGTCCAAAGAAAGAGGACAAGCAAGTGCAGACAAGCCTCTAACCTTGTGAGCCTAAACAAAGCGCTTCTCTGTTAGCTGGCTATCTCAGCTACCTGCTATAGAAAAATGACCAGTATTTGTCTGTAATATTTAACTACAGTGACTGTGATTCTAAAAAGAGAATTACCTCATGTGCACTAGCTATAAATTACACATATGCATGAATATAAAGAATGCAAGTATTGCATCACTATTCCAATACTGTCATCTGTTAGACATCTGTTTTCTATAATGTGTACATCTGTGTACACACTATAGGAAAAAAAACAGGTTGTTACAGCCAATATTCAATACTCTATCTCTGAGTTAGCAAATACACACAGACACATGTGTATGAACAAACACAAATATACACAAATATTTGGCTTAAATAGGCTGAACTAATATATATGGGAAAGACTTTTACTAGTTTTCATTCAAGAGCTTTAATGCTGGCCTGGCAAGATGGCTCAGTAGGTGGAAGCACCTTTTGCCCAGGGACAATGATCTCAGTTCTATCCCCAGATCCACTGAGACTGCAGGAGAGCACTCACTCCTGACAGTTGTCCTATAACTACCATATAACTACCATAGTACACAAGCTTGGCAACATACAAGAGCCTGTGCTCACACACAGAGATATGCACACAAAAATTAAAATAAATAAAAATCTAAGAGGCTTAATGTTGGGTTAAAGAAACGACCTTGCATCTACAGCCATACCACCCTGAACACACCCAAGTACTTGGATGGAAGATTCCATGGAGGAACTGGAGGGATGGCTCAGAGGATAAGTGCTCTTCCAGAGGACTGGGTTTGATTCCCAGCACCCACATGGCAGCTCACAACTGTCTGTGACTCCAACACTCTCACACATATATATGGAGCCAAAACCACCAATGTATATCAAGTAAGAATAAATAAGTTAAATAAAAGCTGGGTGACAGCTTAGAAAAAAAAGGAAAGAAACCACTTTGAATTCCTATACAATGACAAATAGGATATAAATAGTAATATTTTATTATATAACACATACTATATATATATATATATACACATATATATTACTCGAAGTTACATATTAAATGTGTACATATACTACACAGAGAAGAAGATCATATTCTATCTTAATTCTTAAAATAGTTTCTTTACATTACTTCTTTTTGAAAAGGGAAGAAATTAAAGAGGTCTTCAAAAGTAATTTGAAAAATACTGTCGATGTATACGTACATAGAGGAAGATAAAATTTCCCACAGCATTAAAAAATTAAGTAACCAATGAGACTTAAGGTGAGACAGCCATTAATTCCCTTAACAATACTGACTACTCTGTGCTGCCCCAATGTTTATCTCAAAGCTCACATCTTAAGACTAGATATTACAGCCACAATGTTGACGCTACTGAAGAGTGACCAGACCGCAATTACTTTTTCATGGCTCTAGTCTCCTGGGAAACTCTATTCTATGCTGTTATCCACACACATTTCTCTATTCATCTGACATCTATTTCACATGTTAAGAATGTTAATAACGTGTATTCTAGAAGCTCAGTCTGAATTGGAATCTGGCTTTTCCATATACAAACTGATTGACATAATTGAGACTGTATCACCAAATTAATGCAATGATATATTTCTAGTCCAGCCAGGTGATACATATTTTTTATCAACCATTATCTTCATAAACAATGATAGTCTTAATAGAGATTAAATTCCCTAATTGTAAGCTACATTACTTTGTGTAAAAACATGCTTTTTTGCGGGGTGGGGTGTTTCAAGACAGATTTATCTGAGTAGCTTTGGAGCCTGTCCTGGAACTCATTCTATAGACCAGGCTGGCCTAGAACTCACAAAGATCCACCTGTCTCTTCCTCCCTTTGTTTTGTGTTTTGGGAAAGAACAAGAGAACATGAAGTTGGTGAGTAGGGAAGTGGGGAGGAGTTGGGGAGGGAAAACATGATCAAAAGAAACTATGAAAAAATTAAATAAAAATCAGAATTCTTCCTTGAATTTATTTTTCTGAAGTATTTTGCTGGGGCAATGAAAAGCTGATCCAGAGCAAAGCCAAACAGTGGTGGTGGGCTGGGGTCTAGAATACAGAAGCAGAGTCCCCATGTATGGTAAAACTGTAGAGCTAAAGCTTTTTACAAATGACCGCACATCCTGTGGAATAGATAGGAGACCTTGGGAAGGATAAGAAGTGGATTCAATGGAGTATATCCCACCCCCAAGAAAGGCAGTCGTTTAAACTGCAGCATTGGTAGTAAAAGGACAATGTCATGACAAAAGACACCTGCGCTCTAGGCTGAGAGGACTGAGAGGTACTGGAGAGATAAAATGGAAGAGGCTCTGAGCCACAGACTAGAGGAATGTTCCACAAGGTGATTACATTTGAAAACACAGGGACGCAAGCATTTGCTTGGTGGACAGCTTCTCAGCGGTAATGCTGGAGCTAAGGCTGCAGGCAGGGGAGCAGGACGAAAGAGCAGGAGTCAGGTGGAGTTTAAATACTATCCACATGAACCGAGAAAAGAAGAGCTACAGACAATGGGAGGTGTCGGACTGTTGTATCCGCACAAAGCTCACAGGCAGTATTCAAAGAATATAGAAAGGTAACTATAGCTTCCTATGATGAGTTAAGAGAAACTAAGCTCAAACCAGTTACAACTCCAAGAGCGGAAACATCCAATTCATTACTACCAAGTGGGTTTGTACTTTCCCTTAAAAATAAAATACAACACTAAAGAGTTACAAATACTTTAGAATTGCTACACATGAATTAAGTCATAAAAAAATAAAAAACAGTTTAGACATCAGAACCTGGGCAATTTTTAAAGTCCTAAGTAGTATTATTCTGTTTATCATGACTAACATAGCTATAGATGCACAGGCTGTTTTCTGTTTGATCTCATAACTATAAAGGTTTAGATACAAAGTTGTCACATGAAACAAGTTCTGAAGCCATGCAAGTCAGAATCAGAGCCTGAAGTCTTAACAGTCAATCTTTAAAATTTCTAAGGGGCCACAAAATGGCTCCGTGAGTGAAGGCACTGGTCCCTGAGACTGAATTCAATCCTCCATAACTACACAGTGAGCAACCAACTCCTCCAAGCTGACTCTGACCATGACATGTGCATCCCCCCACCACACACAGACACACACACACACAGACACACACACACACACACACAAAAAAAACCATCTCTCTTTAAAATAACAAAGTTCATTAAAGAAATTAGTTTTCATAACTATCTCTCCTTAATTCCAACAACCCTACTCAAAGGTCATAAAAGAATGAAACGCTTTTCTAAGCCAAGCAAATGACTTGGATTTGGAATACATTGGATTTGGATATGTTCTTGTGGAAGGTGACAGTCCCAACTATCAGAAAGTTAACCTCCTCCTGAGTGGATACCACAGACCTCCAACTGAAACCTCACTCTGTAGGTCACCCTTCTTTCTTTGCAGAGGTTGGTGGTAATATTTTTGCCTTCAATAGCCAGGTCAAAGTACAGTAACTTTATCCTCACCAAACAACATTAAAACATTTCATGGTTTCCAACCCACTCTTGATCAAGATGTCCGAGTGTCTGCCTTGTAACTAGATACTTAAAGAACAATAACCTCGCCCTCAGCATGCCAAATGTTATCAGGAAGCCCCACGTCTAAGATCTGACTCCTAATGGACACAGAGCCTCCTCCTCATCTACTGCTCTGTAAGTAAGGTGAAACTGGCATCCCCCCTCCAACAGGTTTCCTTGGAACTCATGTTATATTCTTCTCCTACCAGCAGAGGGAGACCCGATCCACTTCCCGAGCTCTGAGACTGCTCAATCAAGTCTCTCAGGGACTCTCCGGGAGGAATGTAAGTTTCATCCTGCTCAAGCCCAATGCTGTAGCGAGGCCTGGCCTCTTGTCTTTTATACCTAAGCATGAACGAGGGGGATAATAGTTAACACAGAAATGCAGTGACAGATATAAAACATCACAGACAAACATTAATCATGGAATTCAGCAATAAACACAAAATCAAATGCTATTTGCCACCTTGGAATGTTTTTCATTCAATCATGTACAATTTTCCTTTTCTATGTCTTTCAGTTACTATACAAGCTAACTGTATTCTATTAGTATTTCCAGATAGTGCCAATATCTGTTTCCTAGAAGCATTTCCTTTAAGTTCCCTAGGTAATTAAATATACAAGCTTCTTTCTTTTAGAAAGGTGTGTAAGAAGATCCTTTCACATAAGAAAATGTACAACAACCATGACATAACATTGAACCTTAAAACATGCTATTGTAGTACCTTCAAAGATTTACAAGAAAATCCTTTCACATAAGAAAATGTACAAGACAATACAACAACCATAACATAACATTGAACCTTAAAACATGCTATTGTAGTACCTTCAAAGATTTATTTTAATCAATTAACTTATGTATTTATAGAATGTTATTGTTGACTATTAGAATGCTCAAATGGTATGGACATTTAAACCTTTATATTTCACAAAGTAGAAAGTAAGTTCTTAACTGAAAAAGCTTTTATATAACTAAACTTAGTTTATTTTAATGTTTGCTCTATAAATGTTATAATACTAGAGGAATTTTGTAGCCAGGAAAAAAGGAATTCCTGACTCCCATATGGTTTCTTCTTTGCTTAAAATTAAAACCAAGTCATAACCAGTCACTAAATTTTCCAGTTAGCCACGTTTCCTTAAGGTGAAGAATTTATCTGAGTGGTTGTCATGTCTGAAACAGAAATGAGACAGGCATCTATTTATAGCTTTGCTGGGGTAAGTCTTTGTCTATGGTAATAGATATTTTCAGATAAACTTGAGATCTAGGGGCAATGCAAGCTGTGATACAAAAGCCTGACAGGCAAAAGAAGCAAAAATTATTAATGTAGGGATCTCACTATGAGTGCAAAACTCCATGTATCTATCTAATACTTACCTGAAGTAACAGAATAAAATAATGAGGACCAAGAGTAAACTACAGACAGTCACAGATATAAGTAAGGCCTTGTGGTGTATAGGGCCATCAACAAAATCTGAAAGAGAAAGCCACACAACAACACATATATTACTTAAAAGGAATAAATTCTTTCCACCAAAGTTTGATCAAAACATGATAAGCAAAACACAGAAGAACATTTAACATGCTGTGAGAAAAAAGCACACATGTACTCAAAACTGCATGCTTATCTTGGGTGCATCCACTCAGCTAGACGTGTATTTCAACAGCACAAGTCTCCTGTATGGAACGAATTGACCTGACACAGAATAAACCCACAGGAGGAATACAGGAGTGAATGGGCCCCACCCAGAGCCTAACAGCCAAGCAGGAGCTCATGGGTATATCAGAGTCAGGTATTGGGTTTGTAGGCTCTTCTCACCTGACATGTAGGATATTCTTTGGAAAAGAAACAAAAATCTATATTCATTATACCCAAAGCTGCTTTCTGATAAATGCAAAGCATGGGGGCTCCTCAAATACTATAACATTGTGTATGTGTGTATTACTTTACACAAAGATGCCATGTTACAACTGTACTTTAATTTTTTAAAATGGAAATATAAAATTAAAATAGAAATGTCTAATCCAAAGACCATGCAATGCACTTAAGCAACAGATCATTAAGTAATGCTCATTTTGTGTCAGCTCAAATTCTTGAGCAAGCTTTCTCAGGCTTCACGTGAGTGTCTTAATAAGAGACCAACGCATATTTCCTGACTTTAAACCCAGATATATTTATTCTCGGTTTAAATAATATATTTATTTAATATATAAATAAATAGTATATTTATTATTTTTTGTAACCAATTATCCCAGGTGATTTTTTATTCAGCTACCTCAGGAATATCTAAACAAAACTGGGTTGAAACCAAGCACAGATATACAGTAACAGAATTAGCAGAATGCTCCTGATAAAAGTGATGACTGCTACTTAGTTGAAAAGGAAGGGTTAGAAAGGATGACTTTGACCAGTACAAGAAGATGTTTTCCCAGCTGTACCCGTATATAGATATATTCAAATTTTGACAAGGGACTTTTGCTCACCCAAATGTGATTTTTGCAATAAAAAGTGGTATATGCTCCACAAAAAAAAACATTAAAGGACCAACTGAATAAAAAAGATGAAATTTATATTCTTAATAAACTACTAACAAGAGCTGTACACGTGGCAAGACAGCATCACTTCATCAAGCAAAAATGTTAACCAAAAAAATATTTCACAAAGGATACTGTATCATCTTGTAACTGGATTCTTCTCTCTTTCTCTTATGGACAAAGTATCACTATATAACCTAAGCTGTCTCAAACTTCAAATCATTCTGCATTAGCCTCCCAAAGGCTGAAATTGCAACATCTGCCACTATGGTGGCTAAATTATTTTTGTAATACTGTGAACATTTCCAACAACATGTTGATTTCAAAGATAACATAGTATTTCGCACAGAAACATCCCAATTAGAAATCAACCTCCTGTTGTGATATGTTTAAGAAATTTTGCTATAAAGCACATTTCTATAATATATACAATTATTTAACTAATACATACATGTCTTTGATTATGACAGTCTAACATTCTTAGATGTAAAACTATTACTTCAGAAGACAGATACTACAAATCTTCTCATATTGCCATCATATATCCTTTAAAGACTAAACAATTTCTAATCCATTATCAGTATCATCATTTTGAAATAATTTCAGTTTTCAACAAAATACTTGAGGAACTCCAGTGCGTTCTTTGCTCATAGCTCTCATTATTTATATTTTATCTCTTGTTCTGATCACCCTTTACACAAAACAATCTCATATGCATACATATGCCTATACGTTTGCATTCATATTTCTTTTCCATCATTTATTTTGAGTGCCTGTATGAGTTCAGACTATTTGAGCACTGTTTCTGTCCATCTTTAAATAATTCAGAGTTCTTATTAGAACTAATAAGTACAAAGATACTGTCTCACAAATAGTTATAAAATTGTAACCATTGAGATACTAACAGATTAGTTGAAAATAAACTCACTATGCAATGTTATGTAAAATGCTTGCATTAGTTATTGCAAACTCTAACCCACAGATCTTTACACTTTTTTGACAAATCTGACAACAGTTATGGATATAATACATTCAGTAGTCTAAAATATGTATTTAACACTTAATTATGTTCCATACCACCTGCAAATATGAATGAAAGTAGGCTGCATCTCAAAAGACTAAATGAAAATCATAAGAGAGTAGGCTTTCTTGTAATTATCCAGTTCAGAATTGTTATAAATGTCCCATGCAAAAGGAGTTTAGGAGCTTGAACCACTGAAGTACTCACCAAATAGCCATCACAAACAGGAGTAAAAATGAGTACATACATGGTTTGGAATATATGGCTTCATAAATGTTAAAAGTAATTGATAGGTCCTTAAAAGAAAACAGTCTACAATTCTATTAAGTTTATTTCTTCTATGTCATGTATACACACGTAAAGACTGGAATCTTTGCTTATTCTGGAAAACACAGCTTACATTGTATTTCCAATTTTAAGGACAACTCTCCATGTTTAGGAATCCAAAGAGAATATTCCTCTACTAAAATTAAATCTAACCACGGGATCACAATGAATTTCCAGGCCATGAACCCAGATTTTTTTTCACTCCACTGCTATAATTTTGCTAAAACTCAGTTTCTCTTTGCCTTTTCACATAGATAGATACCAAGCTCAGACTACACTGTGAACTGCCACCCATGTGTTTATTACTCACTACATTTCTGACTTATGACAGGAACAAAACCACAAGGACCTAAGGAAGTCTTTCTTCACCATCAAGCACTGTACATAAGGCTAGCATTAGTCCATATTTTTGTCTTCTTTTCCCCAGTAACCCTCTTTTGATATCAAGTCTGCTGTCTACTTTTCTTGGTTCATGAACAGTTGATCTTTATCAATAAACCTCCATTTCCATTTGTCATGTTAATTTCGTGCTATCCTGTCACTGTCTGCACTTGGAGCACTAACATGAATACTCCTGGAGGGAAACCCTTCCAGACACCAATGAAGAGAAGTGAATCACCTGGGGCCCTTCTGGGACACCACACTTCTACCTATGCTGTCCCTCCACACTGTACTTCTGCTGGTTGCATGGGAGGTATAATACTGAGGATGTCATGAATTCTTCCACCATGATCTCAAGGAGTGTCTAAGGCAAGGCATCACAACAGAATTAAATACCCTGTGAGGAGTCTCCAAATGCCATTGTGGAAAGCTATGAAGGTGAAGCCTATGGTTTAGTGGACACCCCAAGCTACTGAAGATGCCAGAACAGTGGGTCACCCTGCCAAGAAGAACTAACTGTACTTGGGGAGTAGAAGCAATCCAGGAAAGGGAGATACAGAACATGCTGCAATGCTGGATGGGTAGAGTCATCTAAGTCCTTTGAAAGAGAAGCCTGGTGGCATTTGCACAGCTAGGTTTTAGTCTTGCTGTGGTCAAAATTTTCTTTATTGTGTCCTTTCATTTTTTTAATGGGAATGCATACTCTATGCATGACCCATTGTCACCTGATATATAAAAGCAAAACAAAAACAAAAACAAAAAAAAACAATGTACATACTTTCACAATGAAAAGACAGACTAGGGTTTCAGAAGAGTCATTTTGAACAGTGCTGTGGTTGTTAAATAACATATCAACTTTTCAAGTTGGACTAAATGCATTTTATGTCATGAAATGGCCATAAGCCTATGGGGGTCAGGGGTGTGATATTGCTATTTGAGTGGGAAATGCCCCCTATATGCTCATGTATTTAAGCACCAAGTCCCCAGCTGGTGGCACTATTTGGAAAGGCTAAGGAACCCATCTGGGGTAAAGCCTTTCTGAAGAAGTGCATCACTAGGGCTACACTTCGAGTTTTTATAGCTTGACTCAACTTTCTTTTCTGTCTCACTGTGGCTCTGTCTCTCTTTCTCTCCCCACCCCATCTCTCTAGGACCATAAGTTAAAATAAATCATTTTTCCCCTCAAAGTTACTTCTTATCAGGGTAATTTTTACAGCAACACAAAAGTTACAAAACCATCCTCAATAAGATTTGGAATTTATCTCTATTAGTGAGATACTCATGAGCAAATGTAAGTTAATTGTTTACATGTTAATTCTTATACCTCAGTGCAAGAAAGCAGTATTTTTTTCAAGCAATATTTTCTTCATTTATTTCTGTAGCCCTAACACTTAGGATATTGCTTGAAAAGGAAATAAAGAAAACTTTGAGTTTCTTATTTGAATTTCTATGAATTTGTCAGAAAAACTTCAGGACTTTAGTAGGAAATGTATTATGAAATAGGCTTTGTAGGAAATATACCATCAAGAAACAATGTCAATCATGAAGTATCATTTGAAATTATGCATATAAGCCTTAGGACTCTACAGCATTTACAAGTCATTTATTTATGACTAGTACAGGAAAGGGAAAGGAAATATAGTAGCTATTGTTGAAATCTGTGCCAAAAAATTTTACATATGCAATAGCTATCATTTTAAATACACTCAAGTATATAAACTTTGAAATTAAAACTTTTAAACACATTCCCCATTTTAGAAATATGCTATTAATTTAGTAAAAGTCAGTTTGGCTATGAAGGTAAAATAAAGTGTGGTAGACCAAACAATCTTTTATTTAGTCATTTATAAGGTCTTTATATTTGAATGAGTACAATGGCATAATAGATTTCCTTAAATCTCAATTCTGAATAACTTTTTAAGAGGTGAGAGTGTTCTCCACCTCCCAGCGGCACACTGTAAGCACTGCAAACAGGAACCTTCTAGGAAGAGTTGGGGAGAAGCAGACTGACAAGGATCCTAAGAGTGGAACTATATATCGTCACTAAGCCAAGATCTGCTTGCATGCTTGTTGAGTGACATTCATGATGCCAGCTTGCCTCAGCCCTCTACTCCAGCAGTGGGTAATGAAATAAATTTAATGCAAACATGATCAAGGTGCCAATGAATTTGGCAAGAAAGAGAGTCCAGTGCTCGTCCTCATAAGCAGAAGCCCCTCCTCACCCGTCTTACCTCTGTTCTTCAGCGGAGGCAGAGTAGGGTGCAGGTCTTTATTACATTCATTCCTCTCCGTGCAGCATTCAATTGACCTTCTCTGATGAGGAATGGGAGTGTCCTAAAATGGATTGCAAAAAGCTGCTAGTGCATTTCCTCTAAATTTCAACATCACTTCATCTAAGATGTAACAGGTTACCACTGGAGAACATGTTGAAAATTCTAATAATTTTGCTCTAGATCTTGAAAATGTTACTTTCCATCAGGAAAGTTGTTTCAAATTCTCATGTACCATTACAGCATCCCCACTTCAGTAGAATATTATTGTACTTGTAGCAACAGGCATACATTGAATAAACAAATGATGTAATCTCTGTTTAAACGACAGAGAATCAGGATTTAAAAGGTGGCCTAATTGGAAACTAAGTAAGATGTTAATAGCTAAGTTTTTCAAAACATAGTTTGAAAATGAGGCGAGAATTGGCCAGTGAAAATTTTCAGTTATTTTACAAACTATTCAACATGGGATAGCCATAGCAAAATGCTTAGCTTATTTTGTTTGAATATTTTTGAAAGTTTAGCCAACGCAAGTTAAAAAGTAAATTCAAGTATCTTCCTTACTCGACATTGAAAATCTGACCCTTCTAGTCCTAGACATCCGGAGGTGACAACAGGGGTTCCAGAGTCATCTTCTTCTATCATCGTGAAGCAGTACCCATCTGTGCTGAAGACCAAACAGGTACAGCAAGAGTGAGAAAAAAAGAGGACATGACTTAGAAAATAAAGTGAACTTTAATACCTTTGGCTTCATCACAAACAGGAAAACAGCACAGTTTCTTTTTTTTTTTAAGACTACAAACTGTTGAGTACACCTCAATATTTGAATCTACGAAAGAAGATGCACCAATCATTAAAAACACACTGTTTCCCCTTCACTTAGAAACTCAGGGGAGAGGACGATTAAAATTTCCACATGACATTAATTACCATTAGAAAGCATTTACACTCTTATTGAACTTACCTTGGCCCTATCACTTTTCCAGAGAGACAAACTGAGGAAGATAGTACTATCCTCAACCTTTATGTGAGGACGATAAGGGTCAGAGACCTTTAATAATTTCCCAAATGTCACATGGTGGGGGAGAGGGGGAGACAAGGCTGGAACCTATGCTGGTAAATGCAGGGGCTGGCTCTCTCTTTGGGAGCAGTGAAATACACCCCTGTAAGGCATGAGGTTGACGACAGGCAGGAGCCTGCTCCTGACAAGTGAAGGCAATGAAGGTATGTTGGGCCAGTATGGCAGCAAACACTGTTGGACATGGATAAGAATGGACAATAGAAATAAAGGTTGTGACAGAACTAAATTTTAATGTTTCTCTAGATAAGAATAACATTCAATTATTCAATTATATTTAATATTTTTATGAATAATTAGAAGAAACTACTATTCCTATTTTACATATGGGGGAATTGACCTGATGAGAACACACGACTACTTAAGATTGAATAGAAACAGTTCCAGCCTTGGGCCTTGAATAGAGGTCATCCACCTTCATTCCCACGTGTTATCTGCTATCCTGGAACTAAACTGCAAACAGTAACCAGTATATACAGGACTGCATGCAAACGGATATATTCTCTTCATAAATCAACCCTTATAATGTGGATTCCCAATAAGTCACAAGCTGCCATCTGTGCCCTTAGAAATAAAGTATGAAGTACATTTCCCATCCTCTTCTCATCCATATGTATGTTCCCTGTTCAAGACAAATATGACAATGGAGTTCTAAAAGGTCATGGGAACAAAGCTGTGAGAACAGTATTAGCCATGATTTGTAGGTCTGTCTTCTGGCATTAGTGGTAGCAGCATTCTGCCATATATTAGCCCTTCAGTTATCATCAACATTCTTACAATTGTTTACTTAGTTTCTAAGTCTCAAGTGATCCAACATGTCTCAGTTTATAAAAACTAGAAGCACAGATTTGAAACATACTAATGAATGGCTAGAAAGGGCCAGTGATAAATCTGTGTTAGACTAAGGTCAAATGCATGAATACTGTTGTAGAAGAAAAACAGTCCCTGAACAGCCCATGCTCAGAATCTTTGGAGCTTCTTAGTCAACTCACTGAAACCCCAGTGAGAGTGTAAAGCATACAATAGTGAAGGCAATAAATAAGATGAACCTACACTCCAAACAATGTGAGTAAATACTACTCATGTAAGTTTTGATTTTTTTCCATGCATTTAGACTATTTGTCTAAAGTATTTCTCATTTGGAATTCCTAGGCAGTAGAGCTGTCAACATAATACATTATATCTGAGGTGATTTAATGTATTGCCCAAATCAAAGTGCATAGAAGTGAGTATCAAGGTAATTCATCAGGGCAAAGACAAAAGAAAAAAAGAAAGGAGGAAGAGAAAGAGAGAGAGGAGGAGAGAGAGGAAAGAGAGAGAGAGAGAGAGAGAGAGAGAGAGAGACGGGGGAATAAATTTGTAGGCAACTTACAATACAAACCTTAGGGAGAGTAAATCAAGCTTTAAAAATCTACAAATCTGTTTGCAGATCTGAGAGCTAGGAATACAAAGAAGGTGGAGGGCTGACGATACAGCTCAGTAATTAAGAGATACTAGTTTCTCTTCCAGAAGACCTGAGTCCAATTCCTGGCAACTACATGGTGGCTAACAACCATCTGTAACTTCAGCTCCAAACATCAGAACCTTCTTCTTGCTTCTCCTGGCACTGTGGCACTGTGTACAGGTGTGGTACATATACACACATGCAGGCAAAACACCCACACACATGAAATGAAAATAAGTCTATATGTGTGTGTGCATGCATGCATATATTAGGGGTAAAGAAGAAGGTAGAGGTGTCCTGGAAAAAAGAACCACTCACTATACCATAAGTCATAAATCCATGCACAAATCAAATATGTGGAGACTAAGCAAGGAGGAGAAACATTTCATTGTTTGTCATCTGCAACACAGCAAATGTAATTTATAAAGTTCATGCTGGAGTTTCTGTCTACCACAGGGCATTAACTGGTAACTAGCAGAACAATTTCAGAAGCCTAAGCACTTCTTGAGATACCTTAACTCCGTAGCAAGCCCAAATAGAAACAAGAAGATCTTGTGTCCAAGATGGCAGACTCTTCTATTAGGCCCACTCTGCTATTATGTCTCATAAAGGACAATTACCCTCTTGCTATCTAGTTTTATTTTTTAATATTCTGCTGCCTGGGTGTTCAAGGCTGTGTTATCATTCCCATAATGTAGGAAGTGATGAGATTAAGAATCATGAAGGAAGTCAAAATAGGGATATTTTTAAGAGGTGAAATGCACAGATGAATGTAGGCTGGATCCTTGGTTACAGTAAGATTATGAATGGGCGGGGCAGTGGGACAGTCAATTAAGAGAACAGTCAATGACTATGCGGTCCCTCTGTGTCACAGGCAGGGAAGAGCCAGTGACAAATGGACTGAGAATTGGGTGGGTGCACAGCATAGCAAGAAAATCAGTCATGGACTCTCGGTGCTCCTGTAGTTACTCAATAAAAATGCAAAACACTTGGCAAACTGAAGCTTACATGGGGTCAAAGTAGTGATAGCATTTGTTATAATCCTTGGATAGATAGCTTGTCAGGTTCAGCAGGACTCTCTGAATTTGTACAGTTTTCCACAAGCAAATGAACGTTTGAAATATCTAGAAGGTGGGAAGGAGGCACTGCTTTAGATTTCAGTGTCACCTAAGAGGGTACGCCTGCTTCAAAGGGCTAAGGGAGCTAATGATTCTCTGCTTGCTGGTATGCATCTAGAAACTGCAAAGATTTCAACTCTCCTCACATCTGTTCTAAATGGGTTTAGAACAGCCCCTGGAACCCAGTTCCTTCCTGAATTATTGTTGAGGAGAAGAAAGCAATTTCACAAATCATCTAAAATGTCCTCAACACCACCTTAATTTAAAGTGATGAAATCAGGCTGGCAAGATAGCTCAGCAGTTATGAATTCACGCCTCCAAGGATTAATAGTTTTCCTCACTGATCAATTCATAGTCCTGCACATTATCAAAGCTGGATTCTCGAATCCTTGAATTTCCTTTGAGTTTACATTTCAATCAGAATCCATTTTAAAGGGCAGGCTGACTGAGAATACCCTGTCTTTGAAAATACCTATTTCACATTCAAGGGAACAAAGTTAAGTTTTCAAAATTTCCAGCACAGGTAATCTTATGGTACACACAATCTCTGCAGCCGCTGTTTGATCTTGTAGATTTTCATCAAGTGGCCAAAGCCACACACAGCTTTGTCCAGGACAATCCTCTTTTCATTTGTGGATCTCACTCAAGCATCAGGGACCAAAGGAGGCAGCCTGAGGTAGAGGCAGTCTCTGTTTGAGAAGCACATGGACTATACAGACTCTGACTCTGGAGGAAAAAAAATCATTAGTTTCAAGCAGCAGGGATAGAAATCATGAACTACCTAGTGCTTTCAACTGACTGGGCAAGAGCAAGGGATGGCGAGCAGTGGCAGCTTCCAAAGCTGTGGATTCCTCTGGGTTTCATGGATTCCCTGCCCAGCCTCTGAGATGAGTCAATTTCCACAGAGTTAGAAGGAAAGTCGGTAATATTACTGCACCCTTCTCTGTCCCTCCCTAAGGGAGCTAATCACTGTAGGGGATAATCTGAAGATGCCCAACACTATTCATTTTAAATTAAGCCAGACAACAAATTGGTCCCATTTAGTCTCATTTCTGATAATGAGATGTACAAAAATAGTTATTCCTTATAAAATTCTCCATTATTGACTTTGAAATATCAGAGTAATGACTAAATCACAGGTTCTAGGGAAGGAGTTAATATTCTCATAATTAAAACAGAAATTAACACCTTCTACTAGAAAAGATAAACTCAGTGAACCTTGGTATTTAGGTGGACTGGCCAATACTAGAAAAATTGGATGGCTCTATTGACATTTAGCAAGGCCAATGGATTTTCCTTATACCACTATGCTTCAAAATATACAATTAGCTAGCATTTAGGAGACAGAAGTAGGTGGATCTCTGTGAGTTCAAACCCAGTCTGACCTATAAAGAGAGTTCCAAGCCAGTGAAGGCTCCAGAATGAGAACTTGTATCAAAGGAGGAGGAAGAGGAGGAAGAGGAAGAGATGAGAAATGGAGAGGAGAAAGAGGGGAAGGAGGAAAAAGAGAAGAAGATGATGATGATGGCAATCACAAAGACAACAACAGTTGGAAACACATCTTCCTCTTTTAAACAGCTAGTGTCATTGGTAAATTCTTTATACAAACAAGCATATCAACTCATTTTACCTGAAAAATGTCCACATAGGAAAATTCCTAGTCAGAAACCAATAATTTAAACGAGGAAGTATTAAAATCATCTCTGAGAGATAAATCAACAATAGCTATTATAAATGGATATATATGTGTTCTGGATTGAAGGAGCTAGAAGATGATCAAGAGACAAGAACAAATTAATGACTGTTAAAGACTGTAATAAGATAAGATAGATTTATAAAACAATATGAAAGTATATACAGAAAGCCTGAGACATTTGCTAGCATGGGAAAATGACACAGAACAAGACATGGTGAACACCACCTAAGAAGAAATTCTCAAGGCTTAAGTAATGGTCTACTGTCTCACCAACAAAACAAGAAAATGGAAGGACTACAAAGCAACACGACACCTGGAAACATATTTAGGAGACAGACATTACCTTAAGGGAGATGTCTCAATGGCTTTACTCCCTCCCCCAACTTTTGATTACAGATCCAAACATTGTACTCATACTAATGTTATAATGTCATGATTCTTTGTTCTTTTCTTGATACACAACACCAGGCTGATCTTGAATTTGCAACCATCACTTTGATTTATTTCTATAGTTCTAGGAGTAAAGGTGCTTACCACACATATGGCTCTATCTGTCTCTCTCACTCACGCTCTCTCTCCCTTTACACACACACACACACACACACACACACACACACACACAGACACACAGCATCCTCTAGCATGCATGCCATAAGCAATGCAAATGACATGACTTTTGATAGCAGACACATCTGTACCTTTGACCTTGCTCACGGCTGGTAAACAACCATGAGTACTGAGAAACTTACAAACCTCTAAACTCCACCTATACTTTCTGACTTAGCCCGAGAGATTCCACAATGACTGTATGTATGAAGCATTCTTGGTTCTTGCCCCCATTTGGAATGCTTTCTCCATGGTAGTATAGGGGATGTTGAGTAAGACACCTACTTGGGACATCCAGCTTGATGGAGGAAGGAACTTTTGCCTAGTATAAAGCCTCGGGGCAGACAACATATACCAGATCTAACTCAAGAGAAAGCACACCCTTGTACTTAAAGCTGCTTTGCCTAGGAGTGTAAGAGTCAGGACAGCAAACTGTTTCCTGCAGGTCTGTAAAGAGATTAAAGAAGAAACGGGAACTTGTATAGCAATTTGGTATGATAAATTCATGTCTGTTGAAACTTACTAAAAGATTAAAAAGGACAAAAACTTACAAGCTTTTAAATTAATGGTTTTAATAATTAATCTTGAGTGTAATTTAGGCAAGTATTTGTGCATAACTTTGTGTGTTCAGGGGTATCTTTTAACAGAGAGCTTAAGAAGTATTATTTTTGTGGGAAAGAGTAGAGTATGGCCTCATAGAACTGGAGACAAAGTTACATGCTTCTTCTTGGTCTTAGACAAAGTACAAAGGTAGTCCTTGTGGATCCACACATAAGAAAATTCAGCTCAAAGCATCTCTTCACTAGAAAAGTGTGTACCAGACTCAAGAGGGAATGTCCTCAGAGAACCTGAGAGAATTGGCTGCTGACCAAGAATTCAGAACTTGGAGTCTTGACCAATTTTTTATCATATCAAATTGACTAAGGATAACGTAACCTTCACATTTCTTACCAGCAAATAAACAGGAAATACTGCATTCTTCATAAGAATCTTCTGATGATTAGATAGGTGAAAGTAAACATGTAATCTTTTTTGTAAATACTAGTTCTCTGTTGATGTCTACAAATCAACATATCCATACTGAATACAATGATATATTCACATAATTTTGAGGGATTCTGTCATTATTGTTATGGAATTTATGTCTGTTTTCTTTTGCTATAATAAAGGTTGGCAGCCACAAAATTAAAATCCCATATCAACCTGGTTCCCATTTCTACTGCCTTTAATATCTCTAAATTGCTCTGATTAATGTTATCAGTTCTGGTTTCCACTTTCAGTCCTTGTCACATTTGACTTCTAATTGCATCCAATGCAGCTGGCCTAATATCTCCCTCCCCAACACTAGTTTCCATGACACTTACTTCTGATTTCCCCCTAGGACATTCTCCTGGTCTAAACTGTTGGCTGTTTCATGGCTCTGCCCTACTCTAGTAGACAGCGTTCCATTACTGCGCTCATCCTATTTCACCATGGGTATGGCTTCTCTTTGACCTCGGGCTTCACTCTACCACTTGATCTGGTTAATGAACCATCAGAACACAGGAGGCAAACAGAGGCTTTAGCATGTTGCTCTTTTACACACACAATAGACAATATGTCCTGCATAGCTGCTGTCTCAAAAGAAAGGAGAGATGGATGGCAAGTCTGAGTCCACCAATCACCCTCAAGTCAAGGTCACCCAACCCAGCAGAGCTCAGCACCTCTAAGTGAAAGACAAACTTTTCATTTGTAAGCCTCTATGTGGTTAAGGCAGTGTGTTCCCTAGCCAATGCTGGCTACTGCTCTATTTTGTTTTTCTTTTACATTTTTAGAATATTTACATATTCTTCATGTGATATCTTGGGAATGGGACTTACTTTCAACCATGAAGTTTATTTATATCTTATGTGTCTTATGAAAACATAGCAGGGACATAATTTTACACAATATTTTTAGTGTGCCTGGATTCTGGCTGTAACCAATGCATGAAGTCAGGTGGGGAAATTTCCACTAATGTCATCAAATCTGTGGTTTGGGAACATTTTAAACATCGTTTTTGGACTAGAGATACTAGAACAATGATTCCCTATCATGATAAACATTATAAAAACTCTGGACAACAGCAGAAGCATTCAACTCAGTTTGATATAGCCTCTTGGCTGACGATGGTCTAAAAGTAGTTACCCAGATATCCTTCCTGAACTCCAAAACTAGTAGTTCCTCTCCCCATTGGAGTCCATGGCCAGTCCCAATGCACACACACTCTGCTTCTCTGACATTGTCATTCCCAGGAGACATGGCATATGGGTAGCTTAGCCCTTTCTCTCTTCTTCTGCTCTGCTCTCAAGAGGCTATGGCTCTTTATATACTCGTCCCTTACTCTAGGGAACAAAAAGATATCATAACGAGCAAAGCGGATGCAGCTGCCTAAAGATGAGTACAAAGAAAAATGCTTTACATTATTTGAAACTCAACTCTTTTATGAAATATATTTCTGATTTCATATTTCCCACTTCATAGTTGTCGTGCTGTAACAATGTCTCTCTTAACACCCGTGGGATTAATGCAAACTTTATCACAAAACTGCTTTCCAGAAACAGTTTATTAATCTTTTGCTGCAAAATACTAATGGCATCACTATGATGAGCAGTTAAGACAAGATCAGAATATTGGTAAGTGAATATGGAAAGGTACAATAGATTTGTTCATTGACAAGGAGCCTGAGACCTGTGTTCTGCTTATATGTTTGGGTAGAAGGGATGTCTCAAATACCATTTCAGGGTAAAATATGATTAGATATTTTCCTTAGTTCAGTACCATTCTTCAGATCATATTCTTGGAAAAGTGAATGTATGTTCACAATATTATGGGACCACTTGCGAAAGTGGAGCTTGCACCATTTCTATCACCAACCTGCAGATATTGTTGACTGAGTCTTCTGGACAGTGGTGGTGGCATTTACAACGAAGGACCTTGGGGCGAGGGGTGGGGGCTGTACTCTCGCCATCCTCTTTCTTGGTGCCCACATTTAATTTTCCTGAGCTTCGTAAGAGCATGTTATCAATGAACTCTCTGTAAAAGAATAATGAGCAAGGATTAGGACAGCCTTCCCCAGCCTTCTGATTAAGAAACAGTAAGATATTAAACCAAAGTGAAAGTACTTGTGACAAAGATTCAAACAAAAGACAGATATTTGGATGTTTTTATATGTCTATATTTCATAAGACATCTACTAATGTCTCATAGAGAGTAACAAATACAAATAATACTTTCAGAATATAATTTATACATTAAATTAGAATAATTTGTATTTAGTTAAGTAAAAGATATCAATGAAAAATTACCATAAAGACTGCTATATAGATTGACTGGACGGTGGTAGCACATACCTTTAATCCCAGCACTTGGGAGGCAGAGGCAGGAGGCAAACTCTGTGAGTTTGAGGCCAGGCTGGTCTACAGAGTGAGTTCCAGGACAGGCTCCAAAACTATAGAGAACCCTGTCTAAAAAAAAACAAAAAAGGTTGCACTATATATTAATATTAAGGATGAATGGTGTCAGTCTCACTTTTCAGATAATAAACTCAAGTCTTGAATTTTAACGAATTAATCTGCACACAGTCAAATAATGGGGCCAGCATTTTAAATCCAGATTGCCTGAAACCCAGCACTATCCTTTTTTTAAAAAAAAATCATATCACAAGTTTGATTTGAGGCATACCATTTTATTAATTTGCTTTCTATTGTTATGACAAAACACAGACCTAATCCAACTTAGGAAAGGGTTTATTTCATCATAAATCCTAGATCACAATCTATAATTGAGGAAAATTTGGGCAGAAACCTGGAAGCAGAAACTGAAACAGTATCCATGGAGAAATGATGGTTTCTGCTTTCTTCCTCTGGCCTGTTCAGCTACTTTTCTTGCACAGTGGCCCAGAACCCTCTACATCAATTAGCAATTAGGATAATGTTGCACAGACATGCTCATAGGACAAGCTGGTAGAGACAGTTCCACAATGTAGGTTCTCTCTTCCCTAGTGGCATTAGTTTGTGCCAAGTTGACAAAAACTAACCAGCACACTCATCTACATTTAATCTGCAAAATATGTGTAGAAAAATAAAAAAATTAGAAACCACATTATTTCTCTACTAGCTTTTACATATGAAAGTGTTATATGTTATTATAGTACTATTTCTACCACCTTTGATAGGACACACTGCCTATGAAGGAATGATCTCCCAGGGACAGATTTTCTGGGTTTAAAAACAAGTGTCCCTATCTTCCATATAGTTGTCTTGGATAACTTTTTAATACTCTGCAACACATTTTAGTAGTTTTAAAATCATGATTGAAAATATCTATATCTTATGTCAAGAGATTGATGTGTGTATGTTACATGAAAAGAACATGCATTAATTAATATCTGTTCTGCTTCAGGCATTGTGATCAGAGATCTTACGTACCATATCACTGTGAAAATTACCTTCTTACCAATGTCCAGTTTAAAATTTTCTCTCAAACCACATCTATGTGGACTATAATTGTACCCAATTTCAACAAAATATTGACTTATAGATTGTTTGGTTTAAAAAACTAACATTACATAGCAAAAGCAATATGGCAACCTATTGTTCAAAGCATATTTTTCTATACTTTTATTCATGGCTGTAGTCATGAATTGAATCAGAAAATAAGGAATTTAGGAAAAGCATCTGTGATAACCTTCCCTAGACTACCTATGTTTTGTGCTAATTAGTCAAAATTTGGTGAATAATTTGTGTAAAAATAATTTAAGAATGTCAAACTAAGTGGTCTAGGTAGATGACTAAATAAGTTGCTCACCAGGCAAGTATGAGCACCTAACTTCGATCCCAAGCACCTATAATAAAAAGGTGGTCACAGCTGTGCCTATCTCGGTGCTATGGAGACAGAGTTGGGAAAACTCCCAGGGTCTGCAAGCCACTACTTATTTAATTCAACCATACACCAGATTCCAGTATGTCCACACTCTTCTATATGATAAAGTATTCGCCTGTAAGCTAAACTCCAAAATACTGTGAAATTAAACAGGCTTTCTTAACACCCTGCCTTACAAGCCATTTGCTATGAGTCTGTTCACAGAAGAATGTGCACACCTGTTTAAAACACTACACATAGGTATGTCTACATATCACCCTGTCACAGCAAGTTGATTCTTTGTAAATCTGACTTAAGTCACATTAACTTGATGGCCTGAGTTGCCTCTAGGGACAACATGGTGAAAAAGAGTATGCAAAAAAATACTTCCTGCTTCCTTGCAAAGCAGACCCTTTTTCTTTGAAGTTTAAAAGCAAAACAATTGATACTGATTTGTTATGCAGATCCCTGTTCTCTCCCACTGCTGAAGGAGACTGGGAGGGTAAATGTTATGTTTACAGCACTAGACATTTTATTTTCCTTTTCTCCCCTTCAAGTCAGGGACTTGAAAAACAAAGCACAAAACAAGGCGGGCATACTATTTCCAACACACAGTTGACACAGAATCCTTCCTCTTTCCCCACCAGGTTTTGCCTTCTTCACTGGGGGCTTGAAGCTAGCTAGTGGAGACCAAACCAAAGGCTAAAGAAAGAAACAGCACAAGAGCTCTCTTCCTGTTATCCTGTAAGTGAAGGATATTAGTGAAGAGTTCTATCTGGAAGCTTCCAATCAGCTCTTTCAGTATGCCATACTCCCATGCACATGTCAGTAGTTCATGGCCAGAAGATATCTGAGGAGGCCCTCAAATGTCAAGGACTGAAGACAAAACAAATACACAGAAAAGAAAAAGAAAAACCAACAACTAGGGGCATATAGATTAGTGTATGAAAGCAAGTAACTGTAAAAATAAGTGTTATCCTTACTCTTGGCTTATTAGAAAGCATACCTGCAACACAAAGGAGCATGGCTGTGAAGAGGGCTTCACAAACGAGGGGCTCCAAATGTGTGACTGCATCTCAGAAGATGAGTTCAAACAGAAGCATGAGAAAGAAAAGCTATACCAAGAGACAAACACATCAGAAACATTGTGGATACAAGAAAATCAACACAGGAGACTTGAGAAAACATTAGATCATCAAATCAGTACATCATATACTGAATATCACCAGTTTCTAGTTTGAAAAGACATGAGTATAAGAAGAAGACTCATGGGGCTGGAGAGAACACTTGCTGTTTTACATAGGACCCTGATTTATTTCCCAGCACCTACATGATAGCTAACCAGCAATTGTAGGAATGTATGTGGTATGTATATATACATATGTATATGTGTATGGTATGTGCAGACAAAACACTCTTACACATGAATTAAATAAAAGAAAATTTTTCTCCTAGTTAAAAGTTCTTATTGCTGATGACTAAAGCCACTTGGCAGAGGATGAGGAGGCATTTCATCTGACAGCCTATAACTCTATCCAGAGAGGTCAGGGAAATAACTTGGAAGCAGGAACTGATGCAGAGTCCATGAAAAAATGCTGTCTACTGGCTTGTCCCACATGACATGCTCAGCCTGCTTCCGCAGAGCACCCAGGACCACTCACCCAGGGATGGCACAGGGAGAACTAGTCAAGTGAATTTTGCAAACTGCTTTTCTGTTCAAAACAGGCAGTTGTTTTCACATGCTGATATGGAATGGCAAACATCAATGAAAAACCAACCCCCAAACCAAAAAACTTCACATTCAAGAAGAATGTGTTCCCCAGCTCATCTCCACTTCTGGGAGTCACTACTGAGCCACTTTGAACGCCTTCTCGGCAGTGACACCAAGTGCATTGATTGTTTAACACTATGCTTTGCCTCATTTTTCTTTCTTTTCTTTCAAGATAATGTCTCAGTATTCAGCCCAGGCTGGCCTGTGTGGCCAATACGATCTTCAGCTTGTAGAGTCTCAACCTCCTGAGTGCTGAGACTACAGCATGGGCCAGCCACTCCCAGTTGGTTGACCACACGTTTGTGTGCTTATAAGCATAATCTCCAAAGGTTTTGGAAAATAAGTATACTTATCCTTTTCTTCTTGATTACCAACATCTATTTGTTGCACGTTAAACATTCTTGAAAACCCCAAATCTAAAGCGTCTTTAAATCCAAAATCTTTTCAATGTTTTAATGCTGTTCTATAATTTAATGTCTATAAATTTTCATGCGAAATTATTTAAAACTATTTCATAAGTTTACTTTCATGTATTTGTACATAAGTTAATAGGCATTTAGACCTGGATTCCACCACAAATATTTCTTATTATAGAAGCAAATATTCCAGAATTAAAATAAATAAGTAAATAACCCTAAAAACCCTCAGAACTCATACTTCTGTTCTCAAGGAACTTGGATAATGAATACTCAACCTGCAGTATTTTACAGACTCTCTTCAGTTAACCACTTCAGTTACAAAGGACAAATACCCAATTTTAGTAACTGCAAGCACCCCCCCCCCATTTTTTTTATTCAAAACTGTCTTGGAAACACTGGAAGAATCAAGTAAAAGTGAGCCCTCACATAAAAATAATGAAGATGAATTATTGCTTTTAATCTTTATGCTGATAGGACACAGGCTATTTTTAAACCAGAAAGACATTAGCAAAACCAAAAAGATATATCACTATCACTAACTCATAAGAGAGACAATAAATACTTCTTTAAGCTTAGGTAGCAGCCGACTATCCGGAGTGAACAAGCAACACTGTTTTCATACAGTGGGAGCTGGGTAATTGAAGGAAATGACATGAGAAATGAACTGCCTTTGATTAGACTTCCCACTAAACGTATGGTAAACTGACAATCTGAAAGAACTGGGCAGGGGTTTCTCCTTTCTGCCAAAATAGTGAAGTCGAGGAAGTAATTTATATACAAGTATGTAGCTGCTGTTTATTGTTCCATATATAGTTAGGTCTCCAGGAATGAAAATTACCATATCACAGTTCACAGAACTGTGAACTTACCAGTTCACAGCCACAGAACATAATCGACAAACTGAGTGCAAACCAGAAAGCAGAACCGATAATCTGCTCAGAACAAGAGGGTAAAGCATCAATGCAGTGAGCGGGCTGCCTAGC